TGACTCAGTGAGTCAGGGGGTTAAACTTAGGTAGGGGTTAGACCGTGTGACGTCATGACACACTTCCCCATTCGCTCATTAGGAAATGCTGTTTGAAATCGTCGTGGTTTAGACCACGTTGGTACAAATCTCTCTAGGTGCAGCCTGCAAGTAAAAGCTCCCTCTCATTCCGTACAATGAACAATGAACATTTATGATTCACCAAAAATGCAACTGTAACTTTGATAGCTCTGTAGATCATTGTGGAACGGGGAAGATAAGATGTACAAATTAGCCTCCCGCATTTCCCTTTATATTTGATAAAGCCAGGGATAAAAAATCCATCATCCTCTGGTGCCAATGAAGACCTAGCCCCATAAAATTGGTCATTTGCTTCAAAGCTGTTTGTGAGACGTTGCTGATGCAAATTGGCTGCTGCATTTGTCTAGAAAATATACAGTCACTGCACTGTAAGAGTAAAGTCCTGTGAAGTGCTTGGAGTCATTTGTTGACATGATAAGGTACTAAATCGAATGCAAGTGTTATCTCTACTTGTAAAAAGTACTTGTGAAATTCTGAGCTCTTATAACTGTTTAGAACAGGAAGTGACCCAGATCACTTATTGGGAATAGAATACTTCCCCTTCCCTCCCGCCCCTAACCTTCGGAATTGTACCCGTGAAAACAGCAACCAGAAGATTTTCACATGTATGTAAAATAGTAGATATAAAACTTTATATAAAACTTATGCAGTGTTCTTTCCACCTTAGGGTGTCTCGAAATATGGATGCTCTCTGAATGGAAATGTTCCCTCAATGAGATTTGTCCAGCGCCTTGGGACGTCCTCCCGACGTGAAAGGCACTCTATAAATTACATCTTTTGTTGTTGTTGTTGTTGAACCATTGGCCACTATTAGTGAGAACCAAACGTGTATGGCACTGTGGCCTACATCATTGCTGTTAATAATAATAATCCTTACATTTGATATAAAGCCTTATCACTTCTATATTCTATTCTATATTATATTCTGTCCTATAGCAAACATCTCATGCTGTGGCACAGAACAGTGAAAACAAATTCTTCCTGGTAGCCTTGAAGTCATTGATTTTTATGGGCATCTTATAAACTGAGGAGAAAATTGATAGAAAGCAGTGATCTAGGTGAAACCGCTAATAACTCTCATAACGGAAAGGCAGGCAGTCAGTCAACTTTAAAACTCTACAGGCCATATCACATAATGTAGGTCAAGGTGTGAAACCCTTACATGAAAGCCTTTCATTGTGGATAAACATGAAAGAGAGAAGCATTATATTTTTGGAATTTGTCCAGGTGTGAGGTTACAGAGCTCACCTGCAACAGTAAGATGACAATAAAAGGGTTAATTGACAGAGCAATAGAAATGCTCACTATTTCTTCTTGGGTTCTTACGGAAGTGTTGGCGGTCGCATGGCCTTGTTACTGTTAAGGGACTTGGCTGGTCTTGGCTTGCATAAGCAGTGAAAAAGTACGCTTGTGATTGGATACCTTCACTTTATCTGAAATTAACCCTGACTTGAAGTTAGGGCAAAAGTTTGTTTAATGGATGTGTTTTTGTACTGAAACTATTGATCATTATTATTAATAATCATTTTATTATTGCCATAGACTATTCTAAATATTAAATATTCTGTATGTTTAAATATGAAATGATTAAATATTAGAATATTAAAATATGGTGAGACATTGCGCATGATTATGTGAAAGTCGTGTGAAGCTGCAATAAGTATGTGCTCTAGGTACATAGAATTGTTTGGCTAATTTCCATGTCTGATATGTAATCGGGTATCCTGTTCCTTTCACTTGATATTAGTCAGACAAAGATTACAGAAGAATTTTAACCGGTTTGCGCTTAGGTGCTCTTAACACTCCCATAAGTTTATGTAAAATCGGGGTCCTGTATAAACAGGGTCAGCCTGACTCAGTTGTCTCTGGGTCAAAAAGTTGTGGATTCATGCCCCATTGATGGGAGTTTGGGCTCATAATCTACGCTCTGTGGGACATTGCAAAGGGGAAATTGGCTGTCACGTTCACCTACAAATACAGTCAACACACTTAGCAGGAGCAATATGTTTGGGGACATTCTTGATTGTCACATGTTATGTCAAATGCAAGGATTCTGAAATGACGACATACGTGTGAATATTTTCATCATTGCGTTATTTTAATAACATTTAAGACTTTTAGTGCCTGATCTTGTACTCTCCTATTTAACGTGACTCTGTATATGAGAAATACACACGACAATACAATTCCGGAATTGTAAATTGTAATAATTATTATGATAATAATAATTCCTTGCATCTGATATAGCGCCATATTACGTCATTGAGGTGTCTTAAAGTGATTTACAGAATATACTGTAAGCGAATTGCGCACAGCAGTGTCCCACAAACAGTCGTGGATTGAGTGACCACATTTTATTTTAATATAACTTAGAACCTAAGTTATAAAGTTATGGAGCTGTAAGTTATAACTTATAACCCGAGGTATAATTTATGGGCCTTATTTATTATTTAAAATAAATGACTTACTTCGAACAACTTTTAGCAATATGTCTCTTTGTATGGAACAATTGAACATTTCCTTTATTAATTCCAGTTTTCAATAAGACGGCAAAATAGACTGGTGGCCTGGCGTCAGTCAGTGCTGTTTTAGCTGTTATAAGAGCTGGACTTAATTATCATTTTCTGGAAATTCTTTAGAGAAGAAACATATTTAAAGCATGATGCTGATACATGATCTCTCTGTAATAACATGTCGTCTGAATAGAGTCTCTTATACCACCGGCTGGCCCTCAGGTAAATAGATGTACACAGTCTGTTTGCTCGATATATCAGCCCTCTCTCTGCATTCCTCCAATTTCAATACAAATTTCTGATGTACAGACCCCAACAGATAGATGCAAAGACTAACGGTGTGTGCAATCTAGCAGATAAGAAGTTAATGAACAAATAAAGATCCCCAGCTTATTCTGCAGCAATCAGAAGGTCTGAGGAAATGATTCAAAAGACATTTATTGCTTTATGTTACACTGCCTATTTGTGACTAAGAAACCTGTCTGTTTCAACTTGGGATGAATCAACCCTGTTGAATTTACTACAGCTAGCAATTAATTCAATAAACGATTCATCATATTTGAGAAGATTCCTAATCTTACCTTGGATTTAATAGATGGGTTCCAGGGTTTAAAATCACATCCTCTTTGCTAATGAGACCTGAACTCATCATGGCCTTAGCCTGAAGACCATTGCACTAAAATTTAATACAGTGCGAAATTTTGGATGATTTTTACAATCAACCTTAAACAAACCTGTTTCTGTGTTCATTTTGTTTTTTTTAGGGTGTGTGTCATACGCGGAAATCCATCACCGTGGTTAAAGGTTTCCAAACCAGATATATGTATGAACGTGACAATTTCCCTGAGTCTAGAACGGAACGTGCACTCTCTCCCTGGAGGGACGCACTCTGCTTACTTAATTCCAGGGACTATTAGACACTGATTGACGAGAGTTAAGGCTTCAGGGACCTCAGAGTGTGCGTTGGGTATACTGCTGAAGTTCAACCAGCTAAACCCAAGTCACTTTCCAATGAACGCACTGTCTGGCAAGCTTTTTATTACTTGTCCAGCTAGAACTGTACTAGCTGTAAGGACTTTGGTTTGCAGGGTTAAAAAGGAGTTATGTAGGAAGAATTTCTGCCCCCAATGATTGGTTTACCGGTACGTCAGGCTAGTTGGGCTGTGCTCAGCTCAGCTCCAAGGCAACTGTGCTTACCTTTCCCCTAGGAGGATGGTATCCCTTGGCTAAATTACACCAATATTGAAACTGGCATAAACTCAGCCCAAATTTGTAAAATGACAGCATGAATGAACCTTTTACTGGAAGAGAAATGAAACACCACGTGCAATTTTCCTGATTGCTGGTACACACCAATCAGTTGAATGCTCAATCATTCATTAATACACGTACCATCGTAACCGGTGATAAGATGATTTTACCCTCAAGCCTCACTCATTTACCCCAATGTTAAGAGCGTCCACTACACACACTGGCCATAATCCGGAACATGTGTTGGTTCCTGATAGATCTCCCTCATGCTTTCAGCCTCCTGAACTCATTACCCAGAGGCAAGTATTTCATTGATGCTTGTTGGCAACAACTTTCACTTTGGCAGTCCGCTCGGTCATTGCCTTAGAAGGTGAGAAGGTGGTGTTGAGGCCAATCTGATACTGTATATGCTGTGTCCAATTACCTAATGAGGAAAGTGTGTTAGTCTGGCTCTAGCAGCTGCTGTGTACTTGAAACTTGTTTTGGGAATTTCCACGGGCCGATGCAAAGATTATATTCTTGGGTTGGTAAGGCAACAATGATAGCAATCTGCAACACTGTGAACATAATTACCCCCCCCCACACACACTTCAAAAAGGCCTCAATTTCATCTATTTGGCGAGTCAGAAGGTTGTGAGTTCGAGCTCCACATTGCAACTTTTAATTCATAAACGGTCTAGGCTAGTAATAATAATAATCATAATAATAATCCTTGCATTTGATATAGAGCCTTATCACATCTTCGAGACGCCTCAAAGGGCTTCACAAAATATACTGTGAAGTGAATTGACTGTGTAGTCTGTGGGTGAAACACAGCCGTCAATTGCACACAGCAGTGTCCCACAAACAGCGGTGGATTGAAGTGACCAATTTATTATTATTATGCTCCAGTGCAGTGCTCACAGGTGGGGGCGGGAATGGAGGGTGTGGGGTGGGGGGAAGAGCGCTGCTTTGTTAGAGGAATCGTCCTTCGGAGAAGACGTCAAACCGAGGTACCTGTTCAGGTGGATGTTAAAGATTCTCATTGTAAAGGCACACGTTGTTACTGCATTGTTGGGCCGTGCACTTGGCTTCTGTTGGTGCCAATTGAATGTTTTCACCGTGAGTTACATCACAGATTAATCTCACGCTGCAATATTTTCTTTGTTACCACAGGCGGCTGTCTGGGAACCACCTGAAGCGGATTCCGATGCACGCGTTTGCTGGGCTGTACAATCTGAAAGTCCTGTGAGTATGAACAGTCCGCGCGGCGGAAAACGAACCCCGAACTCGGCTGAGGGAAGTTTCAAACACGTTAACCGAGCCGACGGGCCAAACAAAATGTTATTTTTAAAATTAAAATGTTATTAAAAAAACAAATCCACTTTATGGTATATCCTGCAAAGCGCTTTGAGAGATCTCAACAACCTGCTGAGGTGCTTGATATATCAAATGCAAGGCTTATTATTATTATTAATTGTTGCTCGATTTATTGCGTCATTCGGTACTTGAGTAAGCTAGGGGTAGGTTAAGAGTTCATTGGCGGGCCAGAGCTTTTTGTTAGGATGAGGTTAACCTCTGATAATAATACCTCGTTGGGAACCCTCGCAAAATCTTCCGATGTCCATGTGGAGCCCTGTAGCTCAGTGGTTAGAGCACTCGCCTCGCAAGCGACAGACTTGGGTTCAATTCCAGGCAGGGCAAAACCTTGGGCAAGTTTCCTTACTCCACACAGAGCCTAATAATAATTCCCCCAAAACCAAAAAAAATAATAAATTGGTCATTTTCAATCTACGACTGTTTGTGAGACATTGCTGTGCGCAATTGGCTGCTGCGTTCGCCCACAAATATACAGTCAATTCACTTCACAGTGTGTTCTGTGAAGCGCTTTGGGACGTCCTCCCGACGTGAAAAGCGCTATATCAAATGCAAGGATTATTATTATTATTATTGGCGGATCGCTTTTCCGGGGGTAAGAATTCCTTAAAAAAAAGATAATAATGAATTGGTCACTCAATCCACGACTGTTTGTGGGACATTGCTGTGCGTAATTGACTGCTGCATTTCGCCCACGAACCATACAGTCAATTCACTTTCAGTATATTCTGTGAAGGGCTTTGAGACGTTTCAAAGACGTGATAAGGCGCTTTATCAAATGCAAGGATTATTATTATTATTAAGGGGCTGAGATTCTTTGGAAAGAGATGGAAGCTCCCTATTCAGGTTTCTCCCCTTCCCTTTCCTGAAAGGCCTGATTCATGTTCTGGGCCAGTTTCCTCAGGTAATGGACATTCTCTAGTGAATCGCTCTTCGTGACCATTTTTCATGTGATAAAAGGGAAAGGCTTTGGAGATCTTTGTTAGAAACACTAGGGATGTATAAAACAGTATGAAAGCGACCAGATGTTACCAGGGCGTTAGCACTGTTTGCTTTTCACCTGCGGGATCTCTCGTGTTATTGTTTCCCGTCTGCTCTTTCTGGAGAAACTATTCGTTTCTTTTTCTGATTCCCGAGAGCACTCTTTTAACTGTCTGTTGGGAATGTAATGTATCCTGTTTTGTAAGTCACTGATTGACAGAAAAACGAAGCCTAATTGCTTACGACGGTTTCCAAGTATTGTATCAAGTTCAATTCTCCATGGTATGAAAGAACCGGATATCTTTATGTCTCCAGCAACTAAAAATAACATTGTCTCACTTGCTGTCATTCAATTAGTAGCCTCACACTGTAGCATTTAACACTGAACTAGCACCAGGTACAATGAACTACACAAATTTATTTTAACGCAGAGTTTCCACCATTCCTAACACTGTACTTTTAATGTTATATGTCCAACAAAGCTGAATGGAAGATCCAGCTTTAATTCTTGAAAAATCTGGGTAGATCATGGGAATTCTATTAATGATTTGACTTGTAATCGTTTATCTGCAGCAATACAGTGAGCTCATTTTATTTAAATTGTGAAATGGAAGTTATTTGAAATAATAAATACTTTCTGGTCCTACTAACCTGGGAACATAATAATAATAATAAACCCTGCATTTGATATAGCGCCTTATCACATCTTCAAGACCTCTCAAAGCGCTTCACACAATATACTGTAAAGTGAATTGACTGAATATTTTGTGGGCGAAATGCAGCAGCCAATTGCGCACAGCGCTGTCCCACAAACAGTCGTGGATTGAGTGACCAAATTATTTTTCAAAAGGGATTATCACCCTGGAGAAGTGATCTGCCAATCAATGAACAACCAGGTTCCTACTTACTGCTAGGTAAACAGAGGTGTGTGGAGTAAGGAAACTTGCCCAACATTTTGCCCTGCCCCAGGTCCTCTCGCTTGCGAGGCGAGTGTTCTAGCCACTAACCTAATGGATTCCAAAAAGAACATTAATCCACTGACCTCTGTATTACCCCCACTCCCTCCCCTCCTCTCCTTTCCCCTCCCCAACCAAGTTTAATATCTGACCTGATCGATCGAGCACCAAACAATCTGCCTTATTTCACACTTCGAAATTCCTCTGATGGGAACTTGCTGTTGAGTAGCAACAAAAAAAAAGCGGTGAAACACCATTTATCCGATGCACTGAAGCCACTTTGTGTGAGAGTTGTGACAGATACGTGCGAGAATCCTCACTTTGATTCGAAACTAAGGTTTTTTTTCACAAAGCACAAACGTCTGACTGAATCACAGTCTATTCGAAAAACTTGGCCGTCTTTAAGAGAGAGATTCCACCTAGGACTGAGTTTATTCTGTTACTCAGTACATCCAGAATTTAGCAGATCCTGACATACGTACAGCCTTTGAAGTCAGGTTGCTGTTGGTGTCTTTTAAGAACTATGGAATCCGACTTCAAAGTTGTGACTCAATTGTGGACACTCGAAAACTCTACATAACTAGAGTAAATGTAGACCCAGGTGGAATTTTTCCCCCATTCACGTACTCATGCACTATTGGCAGGAGATATTTGATCACCCAATCCAAGACTGTCTAGTGTGCTGCATTTCACCTGCAAAACACATAGTCAATTCACTTTACAGTATATTCTGTGAAGTGTTGAACGACGTGATAAGGTGCTGTATCAAATGCAAGGATTATTATTATTATTATGTCATAGGCTGTAAATGCATTGTCTTACGATTTAAGAATTGTGCAAAATTCAGCCTCAATTTGGGAGCTCTATTTTTTTCCCTGCAGTTCTTAAAGAAGAGCAGGGTTCCAAGTCAAGAGAAGACTTTAGGAATTTTCAACAATACTGCATTATCGTAAATTTCAGGACAGAATAGACTTAACAAGGCAAAGACTTATTTCAAACCTCTAGAGTCCAGACAGTATTGTAGACACTATTACATCCACAACTCTGGCAAATACAAGTCCAATTGTTTGACAGGTACCTTTGATGTTGTGGAGAATTGATAGCTTGTTGGCAGTCTTGAACCAGTGTGTTTTTCTTCAACAAAAACCTTTGCTAATTTAATAGCTAGGACGCTATTAAAGCAAATCGTGAATTATGAAGCTTCTTTCCATTCTCAGATCTTTACTTCCATTCAAAAGGATTTGGGCCATGTACTTTTAAGAGGTGACGTAATGTGAATTCTGAGTGAGTTAGTTAACGGTGCGTTTCCGAACCGTGGCTTCTGTTCAGTTAATTATCCTGGAAGGCGGGGTAGAAATATGACCTACAGCAAAGTTTGTTTCTTTTAACCTCATCTATGGTTTTAAAATTCCTCAGCTTCCGAATAATTCACGAAAATGTTCATTGGGGAGAACAAGCAAGGTGTTCTCCTCGTGTAATTATTCTTGGAACCCAGCCACCTGAGGGAAGTCAGTTTGACTGTGTCTAGGGTTAGAAAAGCATTTCAGAAAGAGATTGACTGGGGGAAAAAAAGAGGGGATTGCATTGGTAGGACAAGTCATTGCAGGTATACCATCCATCTAAAAGCAGAGTAACCAGCCGGTGATTTTAACAGAGTTCAAAGAGTTCTACAATCTGATTTGGCTTGAGATCTATAGTGACTGAGTAGCATCACGGTCCAATCTGCCTTTGATGATGTTCATCAATTTTAGTCCCTTCAATTCTTTTAATTCTGTCAGTGTGCAATGCGGTGAAAAGTAACTGGCGGGGAAATCTGCTGTTATTGTGGACGGCTGAGGCTCATGATTGAAGACAACAAATTAGCTTCCCTCATGGAAAAATTCAATTTATTGTCATAATGATAATCCTTGCTTGTGATGTGTCCACTTTATCACTTCACAGTAGTTACTGTCAAGTATAGTGGCTGTGCATTAATAGACAAACACAGCAGCCAATTTGCACAGCGATATACCACACACAGTCAGGAGGCGAAATAAGATGGGTTTCTGTGTAATACAGGACTTGTGCTTCTTGGCGTCTGTAGAAAATCTCTAACAATGTTAATTGACTATGTTGTTAAAAGCTTCTACAATATCATCCTACATAATCCAACAGTACATTGTAGGATTATGTAATGACACCTCAATGTCCCATAAAAGACCAAAGTACATCTCCAGATTGCTTGGGTGCCTGTATTGGTTTAATTCATTCAAACTTTAATATTAAAGTCAGAAAGGGTTAACTTGGGATAAAACAAGCCACTGTGTGTGGGGGGAAAGCAATAAATATGCATGGAAACAAAAGAAAGAGGGTGAAAGAATGAATGGAGAGGGAAACAGCTGTCAGATAATGAAATCTAGAGCCTTGTGAGCTCTTTGATCATAAGACCTTTAAAAATCTGGTCAGAGAATAAGAGCTTTACTTTTAACCTTCTTTCTATGAACCAACAGATTTGGTTACTGTACATCGGCCATTAGTGGAGAGTGACTTTTCAGATTCAAACGACAACTGATAAGACCAAAGCCCCATAAGAAAAGCAATTACAAAAAATATTTAAATAGGAGAGCTCAAAATAGGTCCAGCGATCTTAAATATGTTTCAGTGTCCCACAGGGAATCCTGTAGTTTAGTGATTAGAGCACTCGCCTCACAAGCGAGAGGACCTGGGTTTGATGCCCGGACAGGGCGAAACATTAGGCAAGTTTCCTTATTCCACACACCTCATTTATCTAGCATTAAGTGGGAACCCAGTTGTTAGTCGATTGGTAACAATCCCTCAAATAAACAAACGAACGAACGAACGAACGAACAAACGAATGAATGAATGAATACATTGAGTTTCACCCACAAAATTCACAGTCAGTCCACTTTACAATATATTCTATGAAGCGCTTTGAGATGTTCTCAACGACGTGATAAAGAGCTATATCAAATGCAAGGATTGTAATTATTATTATTATCATCATTACCACGACATTCTGGTATGATTTCAATAATTTTAATATGGCCTTTCACATTGGGTGGATGTCACAGAGATAGAGTGGGTGGGAGAGGGAGGGGTTAGTGAACACCCATAACAGAGGTGAAAGGCATCATTGAACTTCATGCTGTGTTCTTTGATTTTCAGCCACTCTGTAATTAGTTGTGAGTTGAAAAAAAGCAATGTATTCATATGTTGTAACCTTTATAATTGTATTTGTCTCCTTTCACACCATAATTATGCTTTACCTCTGGCCACACAAGATGACAGGTTGAAGATTAATGGCAGCAAAATATGACTTGACTGATGTCGAAATCACCTGCTCCTGGCTCTTGCTTCCTGATTTGGATAGAATGATCGGATTAGAGATTTACATGGGATCCCAATTCTCTGCTCTTTCTCCACAGGATTTATCTGTTGTATAAAACTTACCTATTGGTTTAGTTCTTGGAGATATCTTATGAGAAAAAAAATTAGTGACTGGACAATTTAATAGAAGTAATTTGAGTAAATAATAATAATCCTTGCATTTGATATGTCGTTGAGACGTCTCAAAGTGCTTCGTAGAATATAATCTAAATAGAATTGACTGTGTATTTTGTGGGCAAATCGCGACAGCCAATTGCACACAGTAATGTCCCACAAACAATCTTAGATTGATTGACCAAATTATTTTTGGAAGGGATTCTAACCTCTGTAACACCAATCGACTAACGAACCGGGTTCCCACTTACTGCTGGGTAAACAGAGACGTGCGGAGCAAGGAACTTGCCTAAGGTTTCGCCCCTTCCGGGAATCGAGCGAGGCTCCTTTCCCTCGTGAGGCGAGTGCCCTAATCACTATGCTACGGGACTCCATAATAGAAGTAGTTTGAGTAAATCACTGTATAGCTAAGGCACATTTATCTTTCTCCCCAATAGGATGCTGCAGAACAACCAACTGAAGAGACTTCCGAGCGAAACATTATGGGATCTTCCCAATCTTCAGTCACTGTAAGTTTTCTTGAACCGCAGCCAGCGAGTGGGAGAAAAAGATATTTAAATGAATTGCAGCTGACAAAAATCACTTTTTTTTAAGAAGGATTCCCCGATTTTCTGACTTCAGATGTAAAACGCAACTCTAGTAATCTTCAACATGCGTAAAGCAATTCAAGCAAGAGGTTATTACATTGTGTAAAGAAATGTGAACTGTTTTCGATTCCAGAGCAATTTAACTTTCACTTTAAGACGACCCCTTAATTGACCAATTAGTCCAAATGCCTCTGTTTCAGCAGCCATTATTTTTTACACATTTCTTCTATTACCTCTCTTGTGTCAATTCTACGTTGTTCAGTACCCTTTGTACTATTCCACAATATGGTATAACATGCTTCTTTCTGGTGTCAATTAAGTGGTAACGCAATTGCTGTGTCGACTCCATTCAGTGTGCATTTTGTCGACCGGCCCACTTTGCTTCCCACCAGCCAACTTTCACTGTAAAATGGACGACTTCTGGGACATTAAGTCCCGAGCGGTGCACTGGGAGCCAGCGTCTCGTTGCACACATGCTCAGTAAAGCCATTTTTGTTTGGTCAGCCGGGTGTCAGACACATGAGGAACCCCATCGCCATACTTAAGAGTATCCCAACCAAACTGAAATGTCCATGCATCCCACCTACACATGCTGATTCCAGAGATGGGTTGTTGGAATGGAATGCGCACTCTATCCCTGGAGGGACGCCTCCTACTTATCTAATTCCGGAAAGTATTAGGCGCAGGTTGGCAAGAGTGTGCGTTAACTTGGCATTGATAGCACTGAATGGCAAGCTTTTCTGCTACTTGTCCAGCTAGGACTGCCCATCTCCTTCGGGCTTTGGTTTGCAGGGTTATCAGGAGCTGAGTGGATCATTCCCTACCCCCACTGACTGATCTGCCCTCCAAGTCCTGCGATGAGCCAGGCTGGCTGGAAAGACAGTTACCTTGCCTTGCTGTAGAGCGGGGTTGGATTTTACAGGTCCCAAACACTGTGTGGTAATGAGGCTTGGTGTTATTATACTGTTGCAACAAACACTCGCTGCAAAGAAAAACAATCCTGTGCTATTAATAGAAGTACATAATTTCCAGACCAGCCACAGTAATATAGCTGAGTAATGATGAGTTATTTTTAATACAACAACAAAATTACCTTTGGATAGAGTCGGGAGGATGTCCCAAGGCGCTGGACAATCAGTGTTTCGGACACAAGCTGGGGGTCGGGATTGGGGAGGGTGAAGGGCAAAGGGGGAAGGAGGGTGACCGAAGGCACGGTCGAAGACGAGGTTCTTGAGATGGGTCTTGAAGGAGGAAGGAAGGAAGGAAGGAAGGGAGGGAGGGAGGGAGGGCGAGGCATAGGGTCTGCAGGATGGAATTCTAGAGGGTGGGGGCAGAGTAGCAGAAGGCCTGCCCGCCAATGGTAGGGCAAGCAAGGTGGGGGACGTGAAGCAGGTCAGAGCCCACTGAGCGGAAGTAGCGGGCAGGTTGGTAGAGGGTTAGGAGGTCACAGAGTTAGGGGGGAGCAAGGCAATGGATGGCTTTGAAGGTGAGGTTCAGGATCTTGAACTGTATCCTCTGTGTGATGGGAAGCCAGTGGAGTCGGGCGAGGATGGGGGTGATAACGGTTGCGCAGCCTGATACGGGAGAGGACACGGGCTGCAGAGTTCTGGTTGATCTGCAGCCTGTGGAGGGAGGAGTTGGGGAGGCCGACAAGCAGGGAGTTTGTGTAGTCGAGCCTCGATGTTATGAATGCAGCAAATTAAACATGAAGCTATTTTGATAAACATACAAGAGAATCCTTTCCAAGTAACAGTGAACTGACTGTACAGGAACAGGAAAACAGGCTAGCATTCATACGCTCAATAAACAAACATTGCCTCTGTTTCCCTTGATGCTATTCAAGCCCATTGCTTCTTAAATCAGATTAGAATGAATGTAAAAAGTAGGCTGTAGATAACAATGCCCACATCAAGCACTCAACTACAATAAATGCTGTGTCTCTTCACTCCTTACTTTTAAATTAAACTGTAATGGGCACCAACTGTACTGTTTAAAAATCTGATTGTATTCAGAGCAAGAATTCAGGCATTCAGATCTTGTGTGTCGGCCTGGCTCAGTTGGTAGCATTCTCGCCTCCGAGTCAGAAGGTTGTTTCACATAACAACAACAAAATGACATTTGTATAGCGCCTTTCACGTCGGGAAGACGCCCCAAGGCGCTGGACAGTCAGTGTTTCGGAACCGAGCTGAAGGGCGGGATCGGGGAGGGTGGAGGGCAGGGGGGGAAGGGGGATGATCAAAGGAACGGTTGAAGGGGAGGGTCTTGAAATGGATCTTGAAGAAGGCAAGGGAGAGGGCGAGGCGGAGGGACTGCGGGATGGATTTCCAGAGGGTGGGGGCAGAGTGGCTGAAGGCTCACCCGCCAATGGTGGGGCGGGCGAGGTGGGGTACATGAAGTAGGCTGGAGCCCGCTGAGAATAAGTATATATAATATATACTTATAAGCTCCAAATAAGTACTGTACTTTGAGCTCACAGTCACAGCTATCACTCCAGTGCATTAATGGACGAGATATTAAGAACATAAGAACATAAGAATTAGGAGCAGGAGTAGGCCATTCGGCCCCTCGAGCCGGCCCCGCCATTCGATAAGATCATGGCTGATCTTCTGACCTAACTCTAATTACATGCCCTATCCCCATATCCCCTAATGCCTCTGTTTTTTTAAAAATCTATCAGTCTCAGCCTTGAAGATGTTCAAGGACTGAGCATCTACAGCCTTCTGGGGTAGTGAATTCCATAAACAAGTTCTCTGTCTGCCCATTCAGGTGGGCATTGAAGAACCCAAGGAACTATTCAAAAAGAGAAGGGTGTTTCTCCCAGTGTCCTGGCCATTCATTCCTCTGGATGAAGTTGACCATTCACTTTGTGGCCATTTGTGGGACGTTGCTGTGAGCAAATTGGCTGCTGCATTCGCCTACAAAATACACAGTCACTACCATTGACCGAAAATCCTGTGAAGCTCTTTGAGATGTACAAAAGTACAATCTAAGTGTGGATCTTTTTGGATGTTTCTGCATTAATCCGATTAAGATACAGGGTTTGGCCTACGGTATTCCTAAATCCATTGCTTATTTAAGGAAGGAGATTAAATTCAGTTTCAAGTATCACTATAACATTGCATCAAAGGCGGGCAGATCCTGAATACTGAACATTTACAGTACATGTAAGAAATAACTGATGCATCGGACTGATTTGAAGGCAGTGATCTATCTGATCTCTTGAGTTCAGCTGGCTCTGAGTCAATTAATTCGTGATGTATGAAGGCCTTCAATTACAGTACTGCTTTGTGATCACTTCTAGGCATCCATATTAAGGTGTCAGCAGCTCCAATATCCTGATTAAAGGCTTGGCTTAAACATGGGTTAAAAGACCTGTCCTGTTGCCAAATTCTACTTAAGCACTGTTCAGTGTTTGAGTACTATGAAGTCTTGTAATTGTGCTGCACCTTAAACAGGGGTATTTATTCACTTAAATATTGTTTACCAGTCCGCAGATCAGCTGAAACACTTATGATTTTGCACCTTGTTGCAGAAATAAGGTGGAGCAAATCTTTGGAATGATGCCAGCTAACGTTGCTCTGACTGACTGAAATCATAGTTGTACACAGCAAAACCAAATACTTAATTACTGGTCATAGAATGATCATTTAGATGTCAATCTGGCTCTGTTGGTAGCACTCCTGAGTCTCAGTCAAAAGGTTGTGGGTTCAAGCTTCACCTTTGGACTTTGAACTCACAGTCTGGGCTGACACTCCAATGCAGTGCTGGGGTGGTGCTGTGTGCTCAGAGGTGCCATCCTTCAGATGAGACATTGAACTAAGTCCTGTCTGCCTGTTCAGATAAACGTTAAAGATCCCATCGCACTGTTTGAAAAGAGAAGCGAGTGTCTCCTGGTGTCCTGACCAACAATCCTCCAGATAACATGGGTCATTTTCTCGCTAGCTTTTACCCTCTGTAAGTTCCAGAACTGCCTCTTGCCTTTAAGAAGAAGAGAAACTAAACTAAAATCCCATCCAATGTCCTAAATCCCTCCAAGGCTAGTCTCCAGTGCTACCTTGTTCAGAGTCGAAGAAAAAGAAAGTGGTAGAGGCGAGACTCAAAAGGGTTGTGATTCCATTCAGGCATTCAATAGAAACAGATAAACCGCCACTGATAAGGTCCAGTTCATCGCTGGACCTACCGCCTGTATCTTCTTCCACACTGAGCTCCTATCCCCCCAGTAGGATGCACCAAGACAGTGAAACAAGAGAACACAGGTTTCGAATTGCAATTTCAACAACGCCGATGACAGCTTACATTTATATCACGCCGGATGGCGTCTCGGAGGACAGACACCAAGAAATTTTTCTTTACCCGGGGGCAATTAACAACTCAAACAGGTGTTTGAGGCCAGGACAGCGTACTCATTTGAAGAACAGCTTGATGCTGTGATGGTTAAAACGGTCGGGCTATGGAGGTACACAGAGCGATACAGCTCAGAAACAAGCTTTTCAGCCCAGCTTTGACAAGTCTTCTCATCCCTATTATGACTGTTATATATACATGGTTATAGTGGATTCTGCGGATACTTGTGGTATGTTTTAGAGGTAAACTCTGTTGAATTATTTTAGTGAATGAGGCTAGACATAAAAAGAACGGAAGCTCTGAAGGGGAAGTGTGAGAAACTGTGACTTGTCAGAACAGATGAATCAGAAAAGGATACAGATCAGACAGTAATTTGATCTCATCTTCTTTGGCTTAGCGTTAAATATAGGATAGGATTTTACTTTGGCACCTGTGTTGTTCAGGGTTTAAGTCAGATCTTATTCTGATTTCACACACATTCAGAAGGCATGAATGCATCCCTTTTCCATAATCTGGTAAGGAATAGAGAGTTGCAATTTTCTACGGGTACAAACATAAACATTTGCAGCACAAAAGAA